TCCCTTTGGCTATCCTATGGAATGATCTCACATAGGTAAAGAGCGTTGTACTGGTTGTTACCGCATGGGAAATCGGTCATCTTGTAGCCGTTAGCCCTCCACAGAGCCAGGCAGTTGTAGAATACACCATCGTTGGGTTCCGGCCCGTACCAGTCGACGAACTTCAACGGTTTACCACTGAAGTGGTACAGCCACACGCCTTCCCTGACCTCGTCCGTGCCGCTGACCACGACGCCGTCCACCCCTCCACCGATGGAGGCGCCCAGCTCGGCTTTGAGGTAGTTGACGATGGCGTTGTATTCATCCACGGTGTCGATCTCGGCCAGGTGACCACCGTACACGGAGCAGGCGGCCATGGATTGCTTGTCGTCCGAGAACGGCACCCGGGACAGGTAGTACTGAACTCCGTTAAACGTGAACCCGGACACGAAGAGCACGGCCTGCATGATGTCCAACTTCCGGTCTAAAATCTCAATTTCGACTCTGAGCTGATCTTCCCTTCGTTTGGCCTGGCCGTCCAGACTAATGATCTTATTGATGAGGTCGGTGCTGACGGGTAAATTCCCAGTCGCCGCGTCCGTGTCTTCAATGGATATAGGTCTGCCGGACTGGTCCTCCCCTTGAGCCACACATTTGTACGTCCCGACCTGGTCCTCTTGCGGGAATCTCCACTTGACGCTGAGCGTGGACACTCCCGTCTGGTTTATACTTCCCGTTGCGACCGCAACCTCATCTGCGACGACAACCGCCAGGCCGCCGGTCACGTAGTCGATAGTGGCGACGTCTACGTAGGAACTGTGGAACTCCCCCAGTCGGGATAGCGTGAGAACCTCCACTTTGGACACGTTGGTACTTGGGCCCCTTTCGAAGGTACACTCTGCAACAAAATCTTCCGTGATGCCGTAGTTGATTCGATAGTGGCTGAGCAACACGTAGAATGAGGCAGCTGAAATGTAATCGAATTGTGTTTTTTAAATTATTTTATTCAAGTTTATAAGCTTATTAATATATCCAAAATAATTAAAGAAGTAGCATCATTTTCAACTAAAACAAAATAATATCTTAAATTTCTGTAGTTGACTAACTTCTGATTTCTGCCTCTTGGACATTCGGATATTTTCTTTGAAATAAATAATCACATTATATCTTTTTAATATTTTTTACATTTTTTTCATTACTTGGTCTTCAAAGAAACGGATCCCCTGCGTGTTACATCTAAACGTTTATTTTAGCCTCTACTTTAAGGGGTGGAAACTTGATTTCCTATTTGGTATCATTTGTGAAGGGGTTCGTCCAAATCATTCAATTAATCGATGTTCACAGATTGGCTTGAATAAGTGTCTCGATTTGATGTTTTCAAAATTGTCGTGATTTATAGAAATGGTGATTTTGGATGTCATCTGAAATTATTGGCTTTTTAAACAAACAGCTGGAATGCATTATATTTCTGAGAATCAAATGATCGTTAAAAAAGTAGCACCGTACCTGCGTTGTGAATCAGTAAAGTAATGAAGATGTACGACAATCTACTCCTAAACTCCATGTTTGCAGCTGGTCTCAGTCGAATGCTTCCAGTCGCTGAACACCGACACAATTTATTGTCTGTACAAGATTAGGGATGGGAACTAAGACAGCTGCGGCGAGTTCTTTCTTAAGTGGTCGACATTTGCCAGAAATCATGTAGGATGTAAGCGCACTGGGATAGTAAGATAACACTTACTTTTTTTTTAATCAGCTGTTATAAATATACAAGTGGACATTAGAATCTTGAACTATCTCAATTGACAAGAACGCTATGTGTGTGAGTGAACTCTGCGACACACCTGCGGGCAACCACTGGAAAACATCTAGACCCTAAGCGACATAAAATAGAAACTGCGTGTATACATATGGGCAACAGACTTTCGAGCAACCACTAGAATACAAATCTAGGCAATATATATAAGCAACGACGTGTATACATTTCTGCACTGTTAGCGTACATGGCACACTTTTGTGCCACTGCGGGTTTAAATATATCAAAAATATATGTGAATAAGTGTTATGTAGTGTTGAGATTCTCAGGCTTCAGCATTTTAAAATACCGGTATCCAGTAAAAACTTGAGTAGAGTCTGACACGGTAAGCAATGCGTGTTGTGTTGCCAGGAGTAACCGTTTGATTTAATCATGTGATCTCCCCGCTGCAATCAGCCTCACGGTATGTTTACATCACTAAATCGTGCTGTTAATCGTGTGCTGAAATCTGGCCTGAAGCCGATGTTAACAAAATAATGAAGTGTAGTAATTGGTGGGTTGGGGGAGGGGGGGGGGCATTTGATTAAAACACCTATGAACGGGTAATGATGTGTCTGGGGTGGCCAGTCATAAGGAAGGATGCTAAGGGTGATCGTGTTGGTAAATTTGCTCACTTCCGTGCTTGCTTATATTATTGGCTGATGTCAGATTTATTTTTTTAAACGGATGTTTCAGGCCAATGCAAATTTGAATGAAATTTCACTCTCCAAAAAAAAAAAAGGTTAATAAGTGTGTGATGTCTGTCACAGACGGCTGGTTACGGAGGAGGGATCCGGTCCTGACTTAACACAAACTATGTTGACTTAGTAGTGGTCAGTACAGGACCGCTCCTCTCTGTGATTTATATTGTGGGTGTCTAGGCGTTGAGACAGACAAAAGCACAAAGTAGACTTGGACGAAATGCAACAACTCAAAACTTCTGGTGTCCAACGATAATGAAAGTGTTTATTGGTAAGATATACGTTTTTCCAGTCATCTGTCGTCTTCTGGTCTCTAGCAAGTATTCCCTAACAACTGCTCAGTTCTATCGTAGCTCTTTTCTCTCTCTTCCTCAACTAATCCGTAGTTCTTCTCTATCTTCCTCAACTAACTACTGTCGCCCTCTTCCGCTCTTCCTCAACTCGTCGTACCTGTGTTCACTCTCCCTCAACTAACCTAACTCAGTGAAAGCTCCCTCTTATATGTGGTTCTCTACCCCCCATAGGTGGTCCAGGAATGCTATCTATAAACACACCCATGCCCTCTAATTTCCGGTCAATTAGACCTTCCCATTGTTAACCCAGAAATTATCATGCGAAGTCTGGAAAACCCGAACATACTATTATCCAAAGAAACAATCCCCCACTATATCAAGATGTGAGAGTCTATTAACCTTAACTTAACCCCATTAACAGCAGTTTCCTTCCATCCTATAAGTTACCTAAACAACAATGGAGCTCTGTCCTGTACCCCCGCCCCAGTCATTTGTGACATATGCCCCCCCTTCAAGAAATTTTTCAAAATATTGACAAATTTCAAAAACTCCACAAATGACCAACCTACAACTCTACACATCACACCATCCCATGCGTCAAGCCCTTACTCTGTGCGTCGTCGAGTCTATTGTCATCTATCATCATCTTCAGTTTTTCAAACAAAATTAAAAATAGCAACACACAACATCATGCATATGTCAATAGTAATTAACGAAATCAATAATTGACCATAACAACATGAACATTGTAACTTAAAAGACTAAACAAAATACGTATCCAAACATTTTGATCTCTCATTAAACTATCTCAATCTCAGAACAAAGTGTGTCTAACACGATAACTTATACTACTATCATACCAGCAATTAGACTTATACCTTAAGTCTTAATCTCCTTCTCTGATCCCATGACCCACTGATCGGGTTGAATGATACCCACTTCTAACTCACATACATAGTGCAAACCATAGCTGCCCTACCCATGCTACCCCACACATTACCCAGTGTGGGAAATAGCTGATCCAACCGTGCTACCCCACACATTACCCAGTGTGGGAAATAGCTGACCTAACCATGCTGTCCGACACATTACCCAGTGTAGGCTACAGCTGACCATCTCAAGCTACTCTACACATTACCCAGTGCAGGTTATAGCTTCCATCCCACGCTATTCTACGCATTATGTAATGAAGGCTTACCATTCACCTAATGCTATCCAAAACCTAACTCTTCATCTAGTGCTGTCATCACACTTCCCTAAGAGTAGACCGCTAACTATCTAATGCTGTCTCACCATCACTAAGTGTAGAACAGCCATACAACTATTACTATCAAATTATGAACCCAACAACACTAATAACCATTATCTTTGACACTCTACAGTCTACACATCGTCTACACCGCAAACCATCATGTGCCCTGCACGGTCTGTTATAGACGAGTACCCGTAATGTCCATAACAAACATCTCTGCCGTTATGACATCACTAACCAACAGAACTAGATCTAAACTCTAATCCACACACACTGCCATTATCAAGGCCCAGTGTGCCCTGTCCTTAAGACATGACCTCTTACTGCCCACCTGGCTTCTTAACAATAGCCCAGGGGCAGCTACTCGCTCATATTATTAATCAAGCATAATGTTTAACCCTAACCACAACTGTTAAAACACATGATTACACTCATCACTAGCATTACTTTAACTACACAAGTTTAAAAAAAAAATGCACGTGTGAAACTCAAATAAAGATAACACAGCTAAATTAACTAAATTTACTAGTGTCTTAAAAACAAGTCTAACGTCTCTTTGAGGAAGCCTCCTTGATGACGATATGGAGATTATCCTCACACTGAACTAAACACTTTTTAACTGTTTATCTGTGCCACCTTCAGATATGCACCGCTCACGTCCTAACAGTATGAGTGCTAAAGAACTTTCCCCACTATTACATCATAGACTATGTCGGGAATGCACACTACTTTAATATTTCCTGAAATATATGGGGTGCTGATCGTGACTAGAGCCTTCTCTCCTTTTAGCCTTGCATCATTCAATAGAACAACCGTACATCTCTCTCCTGTCAACTTACTGTCATCAACTAAGTCTTTCCTAACCACTATATCACTACACAGATAATGTCTAAACACTTTAACCTTTTGGTCTTCAACTAACCCAAATACACTTTCCTTCACTCCGACACCAATAGAAATTCCTCCTATTAGAATTTCATCTTCACTATCATTTCCTTTTTCTTCTTCGTACTTAATTTTACGTGTGCTATTGTTATCCTTCTTTACTAAAGACTTCTCTCTCTTCTCTATACACTTCTTTTCCTGTCCTAATCTGAAACACGTGGATACCGTTTTCACATCTCTGCAACTCGAATTTTTATCTTCCTCCGTGTCACGGACGGCTGGGCAATTTCTCACGACATGCCCCTTTTGGTGACACTTGTAGCAACGCCCCTGAAATTGACACCTCACGGCGGTGTGGCCTGGTCGTAAACAGCTGAAACAGACCCGTGGCCGTTCGCAGTCTCTGGCTAGGTGTCCACTTCCATAACAACGAAAACACCGGCGCTCGTTGTAGCAATCTCGAGCCAGATGACCAGTTGAGTAGCATCTGTAACACCGCCGTGCGTTAGTGCAGTACCTAGCAATGTGACCTGCACGATGGCACCTGTAGCAAAGTGGTGCGTCACACTGCTTCACTTGGTGGTACATTGCTGGTCTCCAGAAATCCGACTGTCTGCACAACACTGACGTCATGTTTCCCTTCACACCTGTTGAATCCTAGGGACGTCTGTTCTCTATCTCTATTACGTCAGCTTTGTCTATCTCCTGTTGCCTAGACCCCGGAACGAGCCCCCAGATGTCACAGAACGGTGGTTACGGAGGAGGGCTCCGGTCCTGACTTAACACAAACTATGTTGACTTAGTAGTGGTCAGTACAGGACCGCTCCTCTCTGTGATTTATATTGTGGGTGTCTAGGCGTTGAGACAGACAAAAGCACAAAGTAGACTTGGACGAAATGCAACAACTCAAAACTTCTGGTGTCCAACGATAATGAAAGTGTTTATTGGTAAGATATACGTTTTTCCAGTCATCTGTCGTCTTCTGGTCTCTAGCAAGTATTCCCTAACAACTGCTCAGTTCTATCGTAGCTCTTTTCTCTCTCTTCCTCAACTAATCCGTAGTTCTTCTCTATCTTCCTCAACTAACTACTGTCGCTCCTTTCCCTCTTCCTCAACTCGTCGTACCTCTGTTCACTCTCCCTCAACTAACCTAACTCAGTGAAAGCTCCCTCTTATATGTGGTTCTCTACCCCCCATAGGTGGTCCAGGAATGCTATCTATAAACACACCCATGCCCCCTAATTTCCGGTCAATTAGACCTTCCCATTGTTAACCCAAAAATTATCATGCGAAGTCTGGAAAACCCGAACATACTATTATCCAAAGAAACAATCCCCCACTATATCAAGATGTGAGAGTCTATTAACCTTAACTTAACCCCATTAACAGCAGTTTCCTTCCATCCTATAAGTTACCTAACAACAATGGAGCTCTGTCCTATACCCCCGCCCCAGTCATTTGTGACAATGTCTTCTCTCTTTCCCACCCTTCCCACCCCCTCTGTCTACCTGGAACGACCTACTTTGATTGTTAAATCAGATTTTTCATCAGATCCATATATGGAAACTCGATTATTTTGACTTGGTGTACTGGACGGCGATCTTTACCTTCCCTTTCTAATATATGTAAATATCAATTGATAATCAACTTCATCAGTATCCCATTGGTACGCCAGCCCAGATTGGGGGGAACCCTTGATTTCATTGATATATTGCGTGCAACGATACTACATGGGGGCGCCAGACCAGATTGGGGGAACCCTTGATTTCAATGATATAATTCGTGCAACGATTACTACATGGGGCACTAGCCCAGATTGGGGGAACCCTTGATTTCAATGATATCTTGCGTGCAACGATGCTACACGTGGCGCCAGACCAGATTGGGGGAACCCCTGATTTGATAATATCTTACGTGCAACGCTACTCCATGGGAATTCACCCCTAAG